GTACGTACGTAGTACGTAGTACGTAACGTACGTAGTACGTACGTAGTAGTAGTAGTAGTAGTAGTAGTAGTACGTACGTACGTACGTACGTATATAATAATTTTTATTGTGTAAATATAAGACGTTGTTTTTAATTTTTTATTATAATTTAAAATATTTTAAACACAAGTGCATAAATATGTATTACGTCAGTTTCTTCGATTAATTGAGTTGACGGAGTTTAACGATTTGTTTGTTGTTAAGCGTAAAACTACACAATGGACTATCTGAGCTATACTCACCGCGGGTATCGAAACCCGATTTTTAGTGTTATAAGCCCCCATACTTGCCGCTAAGCCACCGAGGGTCATTTTAGTGAACCTGGAACAAAATGGATAATTGAAAACTGGAGAAATAATATAAATCCCTCAACATCGGTGTAATAGTAGTGTTTGGTTTTATTTTACATAACACAGTTTAACATACAAGACTATACCAGAAAATTAGGAGCTACAAACTTACTGATGCTTTCGTCAGAGTTGTAGCTCTGTACTTTATAAATTCTCTTATATTTTTAAAGCCACTTACAGTCATAGTTAGGTATGCCTGTTAGATATTTAGCTGATTTTTTTATAAACTGTCTTAAATCGACTCATACATGTATGCATTTATATTAACACACTTGTTAGTTTTTTGTGTTGTTGTTGCTGTTTTTCGGGGGTGGGTGCTTTGGGAATTTTTAAAAAATAAAATAACGAAGCATTCTAAGCAATGTTGTGTGCTCAGTGTCGCAATCCAGCTGAGTAAAACAGAGCGTAAGTTTACAACACAAGGTGCTGGTTTTACGCAATGCTGTAGTACGTGTTGTTGTCTTGCGTCATTTAGTGACGGGTGAACTGCGAGCGAGTTTTGCGGCGTGACGCTATCCTAATCCGTTCAAAACAACTGTAAAGCTACACTTTGCATACCCCCAAGGGCTGCAGGGAGGGAAATATTTTAGTGTAGATCCTAGACTATAGAAGGTTAACACGTCATTATACGTGTATTTTGAGTTATTTTGTATCCAGAGAAAAAGAATTTAACTCATCAACTTTGTAAGAAACAGTTAGTTGCTTTTGGAATAAGGAGTCCTTGTTTTTTGTTTTTTTTGCTTTACTTTCAGTAAAATATTCAGATATTTCTCTGATGTGGCCGGGCGTGGCCATGTTGTTAACATGCCCGTACTGCGAATCCTAGCATCCAGAGGTTATTTCTAGCTTGTCCGAAAAAAAAAAAAACGCGCTCCGCATTTTGGGACAGTGGGTACGCTTTTCGATCTGAAAAAATAAAATTTATCCCAAGAACCTGAGGTTCGATTCTCCGCAGTGGACAGAGCGCAGAAGGAACAATGTTCTTCATGTTCGGTCAACAGTAATCGATATCACATGGTCGTACTATGAATAAATTGAGTGTGCGGTTCCAGATACTTTGTGATTACGGTGAATTTTATTTTCATAATATTCAATTATTATAGCAAAACCTTACACGATACAAACGGAGATACTTAACTAATAATAACTTTGAACACAATATTTTCCATTCTTCAAATAGTTTAAATCGTATTTTAAATGTTACCTAAAGCCTATTATTTATCACAAACATATGACTGTTAACCCTAATGCCTTACTTGTGGAGCTCTATTATTTGTTTGGATTATAAATTTGTCTTAAGTCTCTACAACTAAGAGAACTCAGTTGATTAGGATGAATAGTCTGAACACTAGTTATAGTTTATTCAACCTATAAGAAGTAGTTGATTCGTGACTCACGTTTCGTTGTAAATCATCATGATTGCCACATGTTTCCTGGCGGGATCTGACCGTTTCTTTGGTCTGGAATGATGACTCTTCGTTTTACGTTTACACTGAAGGTGTTCTTTTACGGGGTTAATAGATTCCAAAGCACCAGAACTGACGTTATATAAGTTAAACATAGTTATGGATATATTAAAAACAAATATGAAGCACAGTCTTGTCATTCCATTCACCACCTGGCACTGAGTTATAGCGGTTTTGGGTAATTCCACACCTCATCAGTAACCATGGGCAAGGGCAGATCGAAGAAAACAAGTCTGGGCTTCTTATAGTAGAGACCTGTACGTAAACATAGGTTTGGTTTGTTTGTTTTGAATTTCGCGCAAAGCTACACGAGGGCTATCTGCGCTAGCCGTCCCTAATTTAGCAGCGTAAGACTAGAGGGAAGGCAACTAGTCATCACCACCCACCGCTAACTCTTGGGCTACTCTTTTTACCAACGAATACCTTATAACGCCCCCACGGCTGAAAGGGCGAGCATGATTGGTGGGACGGGGATTCAAACCCGCGACCCTCAGATTGCGAGTCGAGCGCCCTATCCACCTGGCCATGCCGGGTCCCGTAAACATAGGTTCACTGTAGTGAGTAATATACATAGTTATCAATAGATACTTATTTTAGTAAAATATTGATACAAAGAAACCTATTTTCAACCCCAAATCTTAACATCTACATCAAAAATAAGTATAGTATATTATTATGCTAAAGATTGGTTTGGTTTGAATTTCGCGCAAAGCTAGCTTCACGAGGGATATCTGCGCTAGCCGTTCCTAATGTAGTAGTGAAAGATTTGTTTGTTTGTTTGTAGTTAAAGGCAAAGCTACACAATGGGCTCTCTGTGCTCTGCCCACCACGGGTATCGAAACCCGGTTTCTAGCGTTTTAAATCCGCAGACATACCGCTGTGCCACTGGGGGTAGTAATGATAGACTAGAAGGAAGGCAGCTAGTCAACATCACCCACCGCCAACTTTTGGGCTACTCTTTTACCAACGAATAGTGGAATTGACCATCACATTTTAACATACTGAAAGGGCAACAAGCCTGCTCGGTGACAAGAATTCAACCCGCGACCCTCAAATTGCGAGTCGATCGCCTTAATCGTATAATATTGATATAATATGTTCGTTTTGTTCGTATCAATTTCAATCAGAAACCTTGTCACAATATTTGGACATTCATCAAATTACCAGCTTCAGAAGGCAGCCTTTATACATTTACATTTCTCGGCGATTTTTTTTAAAGCTTTGTATACACCTAAAATAACATCCAGTGCAGTCAGTATATAGTATTCTTTGACACTGCTTTAAGTTATTTTCAACCCCAATTTATTTCAAATTATTGAAGACAGCATTCGGAGCTTTACTTCTCTTGATAATGAGAACAAAAACAAAAATTAAAAAATCAAACGTAACACATCCACCCATATGAACAGACAAAAACATTGTTGTTGAATTGCTTGTTGTTGTTGTTGTTTTCTCAAGCACAAAGCTACACAATGGGCTCTCTGTGCTGTGCCACCTGTCGCTATCGAAACCCGATGTTTAGCGGTACAACCCCCCACAGACTTACTGCTGAGCCATCAGGGGCGTGTTTGCCGTATCAAAAACATTTGTGAATTTAATCGCAAATACATCATAAATATTTGAATTATTTACACATATAAATCTTCACATGTGGCTCATTCCTTTTGTTGATGTCCATACGTTCCCCCCCACCCCCCACCCCTCCAGTGGCACAACGGCAAGTCTGAAGGCTTATAACGCTAAAAACGTATGGCGACAACATAATGCGGTTTGAATTTCACGCCAGAAATGCGAATCGAGCGCACAGAGTCGATAGACAAAGCCTAACCTGCACAGATGATGATTTCAGCCGCTGATTCATATCCAACATGTCATATGTTGCTATTCAAAACGTTGGTAAAATTTGCAGTTGAAAATTGTTTAATTTATGAGAAAACGGGACCAAAATGACATCAAGTCGCACCAGTGTTTTCACACTTGAAGAGACAATTGAACTTATCAAGCCGACGATTATTCTGGCCTTGAACTTGAATTATCTGACGATGATTTTAAGCATAGTATGACTGAAAAAAGTACGCGCATAAAGGGGTTAAAGTTCTATATTTCTATGATTCTTCTTTAAAATGGCAAAATGCGGCAATGACGAGGAATAAAAGGCAGTATCCGTACATTTATTATTTAATTATTTGAAGCCTTATACAAATCATTTATTATTTAATTATTTGAAGCCTTATACAAATGATTTCTTGGTACATCATCGTGATAGCTAACGTGCAATAATGTAAACAGGGCTTAATTTTATGTCGTATCTGAGTTTCGGAATCTGTTTTCAATTTTTATATATATATAATGGCAGGTTTGTTTGTAGCTAAGCACAAAGCTACACAATGGGCTCTCTGTGCTATGTCCACCACGAGTATCAAAACCCGGTTTCTAGTGGTATAAGTCCGCGTATTTACCTCTGTTCCACTGGAGGGCCTAAGGGCGGGAACACTATAATTCATATTGACATTGCTTTGGGTGCATTGTGAATTTATATTTGATTGACGCTGTCAGCTACATTGCCTTCCTCCATCTCCTAAATCCCCCCTCCCCCAGTACCACAAAGGTAATATTGAAGTAATACTAAAGTTTTATTGTTTATTAAGATGTCTCCGCTCCGTGATAATAAAGTTTTATTGGTTATTAAGATGTCTCTGCTCCATTATAATAAAGTTTTATTGTTTATTAAGATGTCTCTGCTCCATTATAATAAAGTATTATTGTTTATTAAGATGTCTCCACTCCGTGATGATAAAGTATTATTGTTCATTAAGATGTCTCTGCTCCATTATAATAAAGTTTTATTGGTTATTAAGATGTATTCACTCCGTGATGATAAAGTTTTATTGTTTATTAAGATGTCTCCACTCCGTGATAATACAGTTTTATTGGTTATTAAGATGTCTCCACTTCGTGATGATAGTTTTATTGGTTATTGAGATGTCTTCGTTCGGTAATGATAAAGTTTTATTGGTTATTAAGATGTCTCCACTCCGTGATAATAAAGTTTTATTGGTTATTAAAATGTCTCCGCTCCGTGATAATAAAGTTTTATTGGTTATTAAGATGTCTGCACTCCGTGATGATAAAGTTTTATTGGTTATTAAGATGTCTCGGCTCCGTGATAATAAAGTTTTATTGGTTATTAAGATGTATTCACTCCTTGAAGAAGTATGTATAATTTTATACAAAGGTGAACATTATTACACATTTAAAGTAAATTTTTAGATTTTTTCATTTTCAAGGATTATTAATAAAGCAAGCTTACTTGTTTCTGGATTTTAAAATCTGGGTTACAATAATTCTTTTTTGACTTTTTAATGAATTTAACCAGTTCGTACATCTGAAGGATGTCTATTGTAAAATACACATGTGAGTATAAAAAGGTATTGAATAATTCGAGAAAATTATTCATACAAAAAAGAGGGATGGGAAAAATACAGCACATAGCAAGAAGATGTGCAAAGCCTACTTTATTTATTTTACCCCTATGTATCACACATGTCTACGGTATTTAATTCTGTGAAACGCCCCCGAGGACCCCTTTTAATTAAATTTTGTTTCGCGAACCCCCGAATCTTTTGTTTTGAAAAAAACATATATATATTTCTTTTACAGGAAAAGTTGTATTCCAAAATTAAATATTTTAATTCGTATAAACTGAATTTTATGAAAAATATTTTTAGTCTATAAATCATAGTTTTTTAAAAATATTTATGAAATTTCGTACATGATTCGCGGACCGCAATTTGAGAAATGATGTTCTGTACTGTTCGATGTTGTTGTTGTTGTTTTACGTTGAAAGATACTTAACATGAATAAAGCTGGCCCAGTGTTCAACCGTATTTTATATCGTGATCAGAAACAAGTTAAAATGGCCTTTGATAATTGACTTTTCAGACTAAAATTATCTACTACTCAGTCAGTTGTTTCATCTATAAAAACTCGTATAAAGAAGCATTACAAGAAACAGACTGGGCGTGGCCTTGTGGTTAGCGTACCCGGACAATGAACTCGAGGGTTCGTGCCTTACGTCCCGTTGCCTCAAATAGATAAAAAAAAAACATGCTCTGAATTTTGGTGCAGTGTGCGCTATAACAGTGACGGTCAAATCCAATAACTCGGTCAGACGTAGTTCAAAGGTTGGCAGAGGGTGCTGTTGTTTAGCTGCTTTCATTTTAGTGTAGGGGTTCCCAGACATTCTCACCACAAGCCCCCCCTCTAGAACATTCCGCATCCTGACTGACCCCACCACCACCACCACTCAATGTATTTACAGATACTGAGCACCTTAACAGTATTGTGTATTTGCTACAGCCCACATCGACAGTTTCTCCTGGTCCTCTATTCTAGAGTATCAGACCAAAGTTACGTTTTACCTTCAAACATCAAAACAGTAAAAAAAAGGGGGAGATGTTTCCATAATTTTGTCCAACCCACAAAACACGCAACTTTTACACTTACATAGTTGCATGTAACCTAGTAAATGCATGTACCATATACTATACATATACATAGTTGCATATAACCTAGTAACTGCATGTACCATATACTATACATATACATAGTTGCATATAACCTAGTAAATGTATGTACCATATACTATACATATACGTAGTTGCATATAACCTAGTAAATGTATGTACCATATACTATACATATACATAGTTGCATATAACCTAGTAAATGCATGTACCATATACTATACATATACATAGTTGCATATAACCTAGTAAATGCATGTACCATATACTGATGTATCAATATCAGCGACAAACATTATTGGATATTTATTGTTTATATTGTATGTATTGTACTTCCCTAGCACAGACGGTTTGTTTGAAGTTAAACACAAAGCTACATAATGGGCTATCTGTGCTCTGCCCATGGTATCGAAAGTCCAAATTTCTTATTACAAACACCACCCTAACCCCACTTACCTTACTTTGCGCGACAAACCTGCTGTCTCATGCAGTATTTGTTTTGTATAGTTTTATTTTATGTTCCTTATCATTCTTCGTTTGGTGAAACTCTCGCGACACCCCTAGCTACTGCCCCCCCCCCAGTGGCACAGCGGTATGTTTGCGGACTTA